AAAAAATATTTAATGTACCTACAGATTCGACTCAGTTAAAATTTTATTATATGTATAGATAAAGACACGACATAACAAAATGAAGTTTCAAAGATCTACATCTCAAGAAAATAGCAAATATATTCGTACATAGATTAAAATTCACAATAGGCAGTTACTTATAAGATATACATAAACAGTTAAAGTTAGCGAAACAAGTTAAAAATTACTTGAAGTCAAATTTAATCAATACATTTTATATAGCTACATCGCAATCCTGTCAAACACAAGTTTGTCATAAAAATTAGCATTATTATAAGATTTCGGTTCAATGGATATATATTCAATCACATTTCGAGCAAACAATCGCAACGCCTATACTATATTTGATTAACGTTACAGGTGACACAGTTGCTGTACATTGCCCCTGGATTCTATCTATAGAGTTTATTGCTATTGCATTCCCATTTAAAATGTTACATGAAAAATTAATAATATATTATAGTCATAATTTATGTAATAATACTAATACCTATTATAAACGCAAAAGTTTTAGGATGTATGAATGTACCTATATTTTTTACTCTTTCATGCAAAAACTACCGAACGGATTTTGATAAAACTTTAGAATAACATAGATTAAATATAATTATAATTTATAAACATGTAGTAATATATAATTGAATTAAATGGGCGGAGCCGCGGGAAAACGCTTGTAAAACATATTACATAGATTGTTTATTTAATCTAGTGGCTTGATTGTACCGCTTAATATCACATTTTCAGTTCTGGATCTGAGCAAAAGAGTCTCTCAGTCTACGAGAGAGTAGTACCATAAAGGTATCGATAGACATTACGTTAAAACGCACATTCCACTGTTTACTCATTTCTTGTTTATCAAACAAACCCCACGACCGTTGACCTCCACACCGTGCCGTTCATGAATAAACAGACGTCTACATCTTTCCTGAAGCTCGATGGTAGACGTATGTACATACATACGTGGCTATTATACTTGCATTGTGGTAAAAAGACACATAGTGAAATACTAGCATTGCCGGCGGCTCCGCCCGCGTTCCGATGACCAAAAACCAAATTCTTAGGTTTTACATATTAGTATACTCTTACAATGCAGTTTTTGTATTTTTTCTCAGAAATGAGATATTTTCCGGCGGTAGAAAGTATTCTATATTTTGACCCGGATAACCAGCTATCATTATACCAGATTTCATCATACCAGACTTCATCAAAATCTGTCCAGTGGTTTTCTCGTGATGCGGTAACAGACAGACAGACAGACAGACAAAAATTCTAAAAACTATAGATTCGGACTCTGTATCGATAATAATGTCTATTTTAATTACATTTTCCAAAAAATATTTAATGTACAGATTCGACTTAGTTACAATTTCATTATATGTATAGATTAAGGGCACCAAAATAATCATTATTAATTAATTATTTCATCCGTCGATCTACAAAAAGATGTAAATGTTGGACATGAAGGAAAATCCTTTCTTCGCGATTTTTTACACAGAGATAGTTTATGAGTAGCATCTGTCACTTGTGTACAGAAAGTCGAGATTTTTAACAAGTCGCAATAGCTACCTAGGAACGCACCCGAAACCCGTATAGATAGGAAAAATAATAATTACTATTACACTAATAAAGACTAATCGAGTAATCCAAATCAAACTATAAACATCAAGTTTCTTGAACTGAAGCTACTGAAACATCATAAGGACACACGTCAGTGTGCCCTACTTCAATAATCTATACTAAACAGCTGTATGGAAACACGATATGGATTATCGCGTGAGATATCAAAGAAATCGATGGAATTCGGCCTATTTTTTACAATCTATACTTTTGTACCTACTATGTGGCTAGTGCCTTAAATAAAACAACTACATATCTATATTATCTACATAAATTTTAAGCCCTACAATTCTTTAAGATTAAGAAAAATGTACTAGAAAATTGTAGGTCTTAAAAAGGGCCCACACAGAAAAGTATTATATAACAATAGCATAATATATGTATCTATCTCTTAAGGTACTTAAATGAAGCGAGTCGCTAGTGTAATATAATAAATATGTATTTAATAATTTAAAATGATATTATATTATTCAGCTTTGTCTTAGTGAAAAACCACAACAGCCTGTCATTGTAAACTTAAAAATATTATAAAACCATGATAGTGTACTAATAATAAAACTTCGAAATTTTGCAACATCAACTTAATTCTTTTATATGCGTCAGTTATACGTCTATGTAAAAGCGCGGGAAAACAAATGAATATCCGCGTCCTTTTTTTTTAAATACATTCCTATCGGCCAAGGTCACATAAATAAATGCTTTACACATAAATCATTACAAATTAATCAAATATTTGATTAATTTGAATATTTGTTTTTTTTTTCACTTAGTAGTTTATACTTTTTAACTTTTTAATTTGAAAATAGTACACATCCAGGTTATTTTATGAGAGCTATTTAAAATGTATATGTAGTTTTAAAATACCAAGTTTCATATAATAAAAAGTAGAATGGGTCAAATTCAACCGCTGACAAAGAAAGTAAATGTAATAGAAACACGTCATGACAATCAAAAATAAAACAACGCCGAACAAAGCAACTTATAATGTAAAGATCGTCATCTGAGATAAGTTTCGAACCGTTAAGAGTTTGGTGAGCTCAGTCAGAGTCGTTTCTTTGTGAATTGCCTATATATAACATCTATGATTCACGGACAGACAGACGGGCTCTACGCAAGATCTACCGACATATATTTGGTAATGGAGCTATTTCTATTATCCTTTGCCGGACTAGTTACTACGCTCATATGCTAAGACTTAAAAATATTAAAAGTATTGCATAAAAAAAACTTAATCACGTGACATAGGAACTTTGTTATTTTCCTCCCCCCAAAAAACAAGTCTACTAATCTAGGTTTTGGGAGATATCGAACTTTCTAGATTCTTTTGTTTGGGACTAAACTAAGGTTTTAAAAAATAAATCTAATGCTAAGACTAAATACATAAATATTCAAAATATTCATATTTATTTAAACTTAGTTATGTAGGTTAGCCTTTCATTTCTCCTTTGTTGTTTACTTTCTCAAATGCAATAACAATCGCATTCGTTACACCAAGTATGTTTGAACTAAATCTAGTGGTGTTTGAGTGTATAGATAATAATTAGGATACAATATACCAAAAAAAATATACCGTTGTATGGTCAATTTTGTAAAATATAAGAAAAAAATATTCCGTTGATATTAGAATGACCAAAAGTGCTATCAACACGTTTGAGATTGAACGCTACTTCTTTTTGTTCCGTTGTCACTCAAGAAAAGCCGGATAGGTTTCAAATTTCAATATGAAAAACATTAAAATCCATAGATCCTTTTTCCAATTTATTTTACAACTAGCAATGCCCGCGACTCCGCTCGCGTTCAGATGACCAAAAACCAAATTCTTAAGTTTTACTACTACTATTAGTATACTCTTACAATGCATTTTTGTATTTTTTCTCAGAAATGAGATCTTTTCCCGCGGTAAAAAGTATCCTATATGTTGACCCGGATAACCAGCTATCACCATACCAAATTGCATCAAAATCCTTCCAGTGGTTTTTCTGTGATGCGGTAACAGACAGACAGACAAAAATTATAAAAACTATAGATTCGGCCTCAGTATCAATAATAATGTTTATTTCAATAGATTTTCCAAAAAATATTTAATGTACAGATTCGGATTAGCTACAATTTTATTATATGTATAGATAATAGTTTGATTTAAAAACATTTGCAGTTTAGTTTTATTCGAAACGGTCGGCTGTATCTATAGCACGCAGCTTCAACTCCCCGTCCCACGCGCTCTTATATTAAACGAACCTATCAGTATCAAATGGATAGAATAAAGTGGCTTTAAAGCATTATTACGATTCCATCGTGATGTCTCGTATTATATCCAAGGCAGGACTCACTTCACTCGTGAATCACGAACAAACATTATTAGACGTAATTTTACTGTCACAATAAGTTATATTAATAGATTGCCTTAGAAGCACTAATAAAACACACTTAGCGTTATATGTTATGGTAAAATATGATATGTGCTATTGAAAAATTACTATTGGAGATAAACTTTCATATTAAGCAATTCTCAGTAGATTTCTTGCAAAATAACAACGAACACCTTTTAGCGCCACGTTTATTGACGGCTTGGATCTTACGGTTTACGAAGAGAAATCATATAAATTCTTAATAAATATACTATATCAATAATAACTATTTAGCATTTAGTCAAAATAATAAGTAAAATTATTCTTTTTTAAATAAAACTATCTTTTCGGATTTTGTCGCGGATTTATTTGGATTTTTGTTTCCCGACGTTTCGAATGCTTTACAGCATCCATGGTCACGGGAGAGACTGAGGTGTTACATGTCTTGAAGGCTGCCTGTAACAACTATACATTCAAGACATGTAACACCTCAGTCTCTCCCGTGACCATGGATGCTGTAAAGCATTCGAAACGTCGGGAAACAAAAATCCAAATAAATCCGCGACAAAATCCGAAAAGATAGTTTTATTTAAAATGTCAAATATTCGCGTAAATCTAAGAAAGTATTATAAAATTATTCTTATTCTATATTTTTTTAATTTATATCCAACCTTTAAAAAAATCGTTCAGCTATTAAAAAAAACAAAGTATTCTTGCTTTCTGTTCGATTTATTGCTGCTAGGTAATTTTAAGTTCACATCATTTATGTTTTTAGTGGAAACTTTATTGGCTTAAGATTTTTGTTTGGAAGTGTTTAACTAAATTTTATTAATTATACGCTGTATGTTTTTCAATGATAAATAAATAAATATTTACAGCTGGTAGAATATACCCGGTAATAACTATCTATAAAGAGACTAGCAAACATGAAATAGATGTATAACTTCAGCATTTTCACAATATCACTTGAATAGTGGTACCTAATATGATATTATATTTTTTTTATATTCTTACCTTTAGTTGCTACCGGGATCGACTGCCGTGTCATGTCCTAAAACAGAAAAAAAAAGTTAATTTACAATCTAGAAAAGCTATTTATTTTGCAAAAAAAAAAAGTAAACTTAAGCCAAAGAATGAGAGAATTAGATTCTATTTACAAAAAAAAAAAGTAGCCATTACCAAATGCTATAGACAATAATAGAAACTATAATAAAAAAATATGTAGCAGAGACAAACAAATATTATAGAAAAAAATAAATAAAAAAAAACGTTATTGTCACCCGCATATAAAATAATGGAAAGCGCATTTTGCATGCGGGTTTTCATGAGTTAAAAGTCATCGAACTAATACCTAAATGAAATAGTAACTAAATTTCATTATTATCAGTTAATTAAAATTAAAAATCTATTTGATATATTATAATGAAAAGCTTCGCAGCCTTACGACAGCCTTATCCTAATATCTAACAATTGGGTTTAATTCATTTCATTAATATGCAAATAACCCTCTATTTTATCATTCAGAGCAAAAGTGACCCAAAATTAACATAATTAAATAAATAATAAATAATAAATCTACTGTCTATTTTGTAACAAACAAAATAAGTTAAAAAAAGCTTCTATGGTTTTCAACTTACGAGTATATTTTTAAATATTCATATAGGTATTTTAACTTTCTAAGCACCATTTTTTAAATCATATAAAAAAAGGTACATTTAGAACACTTTGTAGTAGGTACTTCAATAATATGGAACTTCGATATAAATAAATCTAAAAATTCCACTATGTGTTCAGCCCTTTTTATCGTCCCACTGCTGGGCACGGGCCTCCCTTTTCGAAGGATATTTGGCTAATTTCACAATTCTCTAATACAAAAATATACACACTAACAAACCCTTCACTCTCCATTTTAATTTGCTTTAACAAAAAATCTATTAAATTCAAAGTAGACATTAAATAAGGAAACAAAAAATAGGCGAGTCACTAAAATAAAATAAATATGTATATAGATTATTCATATCTTTCGGTATCTAACGAAGCAACTCCATTAGGCATTAATGGCTTAAAAGTAGGCTAATGTTTTTATGCTTTTGGAAAAGCAAGCTTCACTCTATATCATTCACACTATTTTGTAAGGGATACAATATGAAGATGATATTTGTTTAATATAATGTAGTATATTCTAGACAGTCAACTTACTAACGACTTCTTCCATTGGGCGCATAATCCTTACCAAATTATTATAAATCTATACATATAATAAAATTGTAACTAAGTCGAACCTGTACATTAAATATTTTTTGGAAAATTTATTGTAATAAACATTATTATCGATACAGAGGCCAAATCTACAGTTTTTAGAATTTTTGTATGTCTGTCTGTTACCGCATCACAGGAAAACCACTGGGGGGAGGGATTTTGATGAAATTTGGTATGGTGATAGCTGGTTATCCGGGTCAACATATAGGACAACTTTTTACCGCGGGAAAATATCTCATTTCTGAGAAAAAATACAAAAACTGCAATGTAAGAGTATACTAATATGTAAATCCTAAGAATTTGGTTTTTGGTCATGTGAACGCGGGCGGAGCCACGGGCAATGCTAGTTACTTATAAATGTCAAAATTCTTAAGTACATACATATACAAAATTTTATTGAATATTATATATAATTGGTATACCTATGCTCTTCGTAAATATGAATAATAAAGACATTTTCATGAATAAATTATAAAAGCAGAGACGTTTTCTCAAAACAAAAAGTATTCAATACGGGTTCCTGCCACTAAAGCCAAATAAACGAATGCTATTCGAGTAATTAACGTTCATGAAAAAAGCGACTTAATAGCTATGGAGAAACAAAAAAATATCCATTATTCAAGTTTAACGGCAAATCAACAGTATCGTCCTGTAATCGTGCAAAAAAAAATGCAAGGACTTTTTAAATACACACTTCACTCTTTCTCATCTTTATATATATAATTCTTCTGTGAGTGTGTATGTCACTGAACTTCTCTCAAACGACTGGACCGATTTTGATGAAATTTTTTGTGTGTGTTCAAGGGGATCTGAGAATGGTTTAGATTCACAATTTGAATAATAATTTTCATCAAAATGGTCCAGAATGTTTTAGCTTATTAAAAAAAGTTTGAAATTTTCAAATTAAAGACGTGTAGACAGGACAACGTGTGTCGGGTCCGCTAGTATAATAAAATAAAATTATCAATTCGTACAGGTTGGTATAATGTTATTAAGCATCGTAGTATTATGATTTTTAGACTGTTTAATTTGAAAACTATAATTCAAACGTTGCCGTAAATTTCTGCCAATTTCTACTTAAACTAAAAATTGATAGCAATATATTCTCATTAAAAGCCACGAAAAATAAGTCATTTGACAAAATATCATCACAAAGCGAGTCCGCAGACAACGGAAGCATGGCCTTTTTAAATACTGAATAGCCATCGCAAAATAAATTTATGACTCATGTATGGTAACTGCTTAAGCAAATTCACCTTACTAGCGATGGCAATACGAGCAAAACGATTAATGTAGAATACGGTGGTAGCACTGTTGTTGATAAGTAAGCAAGTATGCTATTTATTTAATATAACCAGTTTAAAACAGTTCACCCTGAGATAATAATTTTTATCACTACATCTTTATATATATAATTCTTCTGTGAGTGTGTATGTCACTGAACTTCTCTCAAACGACTGGACCGATTTTGATGAAATTTTTTGTGTGTGTTCAAGGGGATCTGGGAATGGTTTAGATTCACAATTTGAATAATAATTTTCATCAAAATGGTCCAGAATGTTTTAGCTTATTAAAAAATGTTTGAAATTTTCAAATTAAAGACGTGTAGACAGGACAACGTCTGTCGGGTCCGCTAGTATATCTATATATAAAAATCGATGTGTGTATGTATGTTCCTTATGGGCTCCAAAAGGATTTAGATGAATTTTTCAGGCTATCTTCAGATCAGAAGTTTGAACGCGGGCGAAGCCGCGGGTACTATTAGTTTTATATCTACAAAGAGTCGGTAAATAAATATAAGCACTCACAATGAACTTTACAGCGAGTTACGCGTTATTTAATTTCAATCGATTACCCTTTGGAGGTCAGAGCGTATGTCATTTATTGCACTTATAATATAAAGAGCAGCCAACATAACATCGTTATCTATAATAATTGTCATAGTACGTATTATTAAAATTTCTAAACATATATACATATATGCAAATATTATGTACAATTTGTGATTCCTAAAATTTATATTAAAGATCGAAAATCAGATTTTTTCACTGTCGCTACCAAAAATGAATTACAAATCATTTAAAAATATTATCACGTTAAGTATGTGCGTGGGTTGATGAATCATCTATAGTTTGATGATGTCATTGTTGACAATCCTCTTATAACCAAAATTTTACGTCGTACATACTTACTAAATACCGTTAGAATTGTATAGAGTCTAGCAGGTGATTTTAAAGACCATATACTTATATTACTTATAAATTAATTATTACAAATCTACAAAGTAAATGATTGGTTGCGCTTTTGTTGAAATAGAAACGAATCAGATCGTATATGAAGGTTATTTATGTACTTATTTAAAAAAAAAACAAACAAAAACACAACCAAACAAAACACCATATAATAAAAAGCTATTCGTGTGCAAATCAAAGATCGTGAGCAACGCAATCGAAAAAGTGGTAAAATAAAGGTCGAGCGTTGTGATACTCCATCATGCGTCCAAGGTGTGAATTAGGTGCTTGAAATACCGATCGAGAGTTGCGCACGGGCAGCGTGTGGCCCGAGTCGCCGGCGCCCTCGGTCTCGGCGCCCTCCCGCAGAAACCCGCCGTCGTCGGACGACGAGCCCGATGGTTCCTTCGCAGCCACCACAAACAATCATGCCAATAGACTAAAAAACCTTCAAACTTACTGCACATCTCCGAGATTCCATTTATGAATAAATCAGAACCTCCTAATGGTCCAATGCGAATGGAAAGTGAAACTATTGCTGACGCGAGTGTAGAAAATCGATGAGCCGGTGTCCGGCATGCGTCGAACGTTGGAAGGTCACCCGAGCATCAATCATTTCGGATCGGACAGTGTACTGAGCACGCAACTATTATCTATATAGTCGATAAACGAACGGAAACGTGTGTACAAACAACCATATTTATAAAATGCTATTACTCGTTCTCTAAGAGATTTGTAACGGTATATGCGAGTGTATTGATGAGCGATGTGGCGTGTTTCCTTTGTAACCGTGCAATTTCTTAGCCAAAACGTCAAGCTATGATCTCTACGTGCATATTGCAAATTATCACCTGCCAATTGATGATGTACGGAAACATGGCTACATGTTTTGCTGGCAAGTGACACGAAGACTTTCCGTCACGTCTGTACGGTATATCGCTCACTTTACATTCACCAACTCGATACTATGTCCTCTTTGTATGTGATTCTAATAATGTCATGTTAAAATTATCAAAGATATGGATGAAGCGCGACAACGACATGAGCTGATAGCACATTCGGCGTTTGTGGATTTGGTGTCCCAACTGTTCGGCGTCGATTAGCAACGTGCTTCACGACCCAAACAATGAGGGTGATCGCGGCTTGGTACCGTACGAATGCTCAGCTAATCGATATAATGTTTCCGTCCAATTCACTCGCTAAATCAAAACGCTCGCGGCGTCGCAATTACTCAATACTCATTTCAGGAAATTTCATTTATGTAAATTTCCATACAAAATTGCCACATTGTAAGATTAACACATTCTCATCTTGAAAATGAAATGTAATGCATGTCTGAATGAACATACAACAAAGTTCAATTTAATTACCTTATTACTATACTACTGCCAATATTGTATTCAATTACTCTTTCACGCTGTTTCAGCCTGAACTGAAGGGATTTAGATGAAATTTAGTATAACTTAGTATCTGGAGTGACACATAGACCACTCGTTAGGCACATCTGTAGATGCCTAGCGAGTGTGACCTAGAAGAGTCTCTACTCACCCGATTAATAATAATTTACAAACTAATTAATACATGTCAAAAATTTAATTATTAACGGTCTAACGTGGAACGTGCGCGTAAATAAGGCGTAACTTCCGCGAGTGAATTGGCAAATTGTCTCACTAACAGCGGCGAGAGTGATGTGTCCATTGACCTGATTGAAATAGATTAGTTAGTGGTTGGCCGGTACACGCCTCTCAAATGCATCATATAAATAAACTAGCTTTTGCTTACAATTCTACTTCTGTACAGTAAATACTTTGTTCTTGGTTGGTTTGGGTTTTCAATAAAAATATTACACTTCTTTCCACACCATATTCATTTAAAAGAAAATATATATAAAAATTACTGAAAAAATGTTCTAGAATAACATAGACAATGCAAAAATGTTTTATAAAGTGTCTTGTTGTATCGTACAGGTGCAATTGTAGGTAAAACACAAAAATGCACCCATAACACTTCTCTTTGCATTGCAGTCTCAACAACCTGTTCTAGTTTGACTCGGTGCATGTGTGAGACGAGAATAATATGATACGTGACTTTTTTTAGTCATATGTTGGTCAAACCTCAAAAAAAACCTATACATATAATAAAATTCTAACTGAGTCGAATCAGTAAATTGAACGTTTTTGGAAAATTTTATTGAAATATTCAATATAATCGATACAGAAGCCGAATGTAGTTTTTTAGAATTTTTGTTTGTCTTTCTGTCTGGGAACGCATCACGAGAAAACCACAGGATAGATTTTGATGAAATTTGGTATGGTGATAGCTGATTATCCGGGTCAACACATAGGATACTTTTTACTGCGGGAAAGTATCTCATCTCTGAGAAATCTATACTAACCGTGTATAAAGAACATGTAACATGTTATATAAATTTCCATTCTCCTAAAATAAGTTTCAATTCAATGCCAGTTATTTCAAAATTAATTAATTCGAATTGCTGTGAGATTACCAACAGATTGATGCAACATAATGTAGAGGCTTATTACTTTTTATTATTATGCATTAAAGAATATAAGATAATAACGTGAATACATGAATAGTTCAAACACTGTAGATTTTCGTTGAAATTTGCAATAGATATAATGAATACTGTATTCATAATATTCTCATATCAATAGTGCACTACTAAAAAGCTCTCGCTCATTTAAAAGCCAACTGCGTCAGCTCAATAGTTCTTAAAATCTCCAAGTAATCATATATACATACCCTGGCCAGTTTGTTGGGCATCGGCTGTAAATGGGGCGTGTGATGCCGTTGACCGGCGAGTTCTGGGTTGAGTGCGAGGATGGCATCTATCTCCACCTCCTTGCCCTTTGTCTCGCCTCGCTCGTACCATTCCACTGTCACTGATCGCGTCTCGAGATTCACGCCGGAGACGATCGCAGAGTGGATCCGGCCTGAAAAAAACAGCATTATTATTAATAAAAAAATTTCAGTACGTTTAACTCATAAGCACTTTGTAATTGTCAATGTGTAATCGTTATTAAAAATTATAAATGTGAAAGTCCGTGAAAATGTTTGGATGTTTGTGAGTCAGTCACGCGTAAACTGTTAAATGAATTTTCGTGAAACTTAAAACAAAATAGATCATGCTCATCTAAAATACAAGATATTTTTTTAAACCCGTAACAAATTTGCGGGGGCAATAATTAATTTTTAATTTTATTCCAACAACATTTCAGTTCTGGCTTTATCAATAGATGGCGTTGCTCAAGAAAGAAAGTAACGTTAACGAAAAATAAAAAATAAAAACAATTTTTCTCACTGGCACAGTTGCGGGCAAAATGTAGTTAATGCCAGAGTCAGTCGATCCCATAGGTTTCTACTACCGGATAGAAATGCATTTCTGCTAAGAAAAGATGAAACAGTAAATCCGCAAAAGCCAGTTGCATCGTTTAAAATACGTATTTCAACTATAAGTTTTTTCTTCCAATTGATTCAAATCGTTTGTAATACACTTAATAAGTCTTAATAAGAATGAAATTTTAAATATTTTTGAGTTATTACTTATTATTTAATATTTAAGACATTTTATCTTCTATGTGTACATTTTTTTTTATTAAAACCTTTATACCTACACCAAAAGAAAAGAACAGTTTAAAAATAATGACTAAAAAATTATATATTTCAGTGTAAAGCGGCCTTATCACTAAAAGTGATCTCTTCCAGGCAACATATATAAGAAACTCGTATACATACCTACGTACATAATATCAATATTAAAAAAGTACATAATATATACACAATAAAATGAGTGCTTATACGAGTATTTTCTCGTATATAATATAACAAAAACCCTTCTTTTATACATAACTACAAATCCTAATAGTAATTCAAAACTATAACATTGCATGGACCCAACTTTAAACAAAAGTACCGATACAATACAACATCTGTTGAACCCCATCGATAGTCTGAAAGGGGAGACTAGACGCATTAACTTTAAAGAGAAGATGTGAATGAATCGAAGCCATTTAAGCACTAATATAGCTTGAATTTCAAACAATAGTTTTTGTTTCACAGAATATTTACTTCGTACATTTATTGTAATAATATAAAGAGGTAAAGTTTGTGAGTTTGTGAATTGTGATTTTGTTGTAACAATATTTATGGCAAGACTATGTATATTAATATTATAAAGAGGTAAAGTTTGTGAGTTTGTAACGTTGTAGGGGGTAATCTCTGGATCTACTGAACCGATTTAGATGAAATTTGGTAAGAGGATAGTTTGAGACTTTTTTCCCGGAAATCATCCCTTACGGGGGTGAAAATGGGGATGAAAGTTTATATGTAATGTGAGTCGCTAGTACGTACATATGTTTGTAGTACACATTATGTAACCTAAACTATACATATACATATTACTTACACGTGATATAGACAACTTATCATCAATACTATGCATTAAAATACAAAATAATATTATTACAATGTAAAATATTAAGTGTCAATGCTATTATTTTAAACATGTAATCCATTAATTATTTCTTTATTAATAATAAAAGATAACGAGTACGATTTGTTTGTTAATTAACTGATTCCAAAACAAAATTCACTAGAAAGAAGAAATCTACATCAATCATCCTCAAGTAACAAAAGCTATTCCATACTGATGTAATCGAAACATCGAAAGCTAGCATTTACTAAAAACAGTTCAATCCAACTTTAAATGAGTGTCAATTGATATAAAAATCCATACTAATATTATAGATGTGAAAGTATTTGTTTGTTTGTCCTTCTTACACGTCGAAACAGAGTAACGGATTGGCGTGATATTTTCTATGGAGATAGTTGGAGGGCTGGAGAATGACATACTTTTTACTGCGGAAGATTAGATTTTTAGAGATTTCATTGTAGTTTTATTTAGCGCGGTGGTGTAGTGGCTATTAGCGCGAGCGAAACCGCGTGTTCTGCTAGTAATATATAAACTAACGCCAACTATACCGAATTATCGTTTAAAAATTGCATGTCTCTAATGAAACATATCATACGATTCTAAACACTCAACGCAAACAAACCAACTTATTCATGTAAAGAAAGAGCGTGTGTTTATGTACACATTTGTTTAGCGAGATAATTCAAGCATAATATTGTTGTTGCGTTCTATTATTTAACGCTGGAAAATAATACATTCTACTTAATATTTCAATGTTCATGTTATTATCGCATTATGTTTGTGTGTATGTTTGTTACATATTCCTGCTGAAACCACTGTACGTGTTTGGATGTAATTTTAATGTACAGATAGACTATGACTTGAAGTAACACATGGCTACTGTTTAGCACCTAAGGACGAAGATCCAGAGCGAAGCGATAGTAAATAATTTGCTAATAATAAATATAAAATATTTTTAGAAACTATAATTATTCGAAATCGAAAGTGCTCTAACCCTTTTAAAGATTTATCTAAGAAAGTAACAAATATATCGAAACATAATTAAAAAAAAAATTAAATATCATTCCAATGTATGTAAATATAATATACGAAAATATACAGTATAGTCCAATGTTAGAGTATCTATTCTAATATTAAAGAAGATGGTTTGAGACTCTGGGAAGGACATAGGATAGTTTTTATCCCGGAAATCTCTCCTTAAGGGGGTGAAAATGAGGGTGAAAGTTTGTTTGGGGAAGCAACCTAGGGACGAAGTGAGTCGGTAGTATCAAATAAGATTGTAAATTTGTTTAGAGTAAGCTACATATCTTACTATAGTTCATGTAGTTCTACAGTAGATAGCCAAAAATACAAGGACAGCTATATCCAAAGCAATCAGTGCAAATGACCTACATCACTATTAATTGCACACGAGCAATGAGCATAGGTGCATGCATCTTGCAGACGGTGATGCAATTCGTTGCATAACGCGTCCAAAGAGGATTATATTTTATCTTCTCATATTACTGGGAAAGAGAAGCGTGCGAAATTATTGATTTTATGTATTACTGGTAGCCCAGTGGTAACGCGCTCGCTTGGGAAACCGAGTGAAGCGGGTTCAAATCCCGGGTGTCGCACCTCTGATATTTTTATGTGCGAATCATTTCTAACATGATTACCACTTGCCTTACGGTGAAGGAAAACATCGTGAGGAAACCTGCATGTCTGAGAGAACTATGGCCTGATTCCCCTCGTACTGAAGGGAGGCCCGTGCCCAGCAGTGGGACGTGAAAAAGGGCTGAATACAATGTATTACTACGAGTATACTTTTATATGGAAACGATTACAAAATGGTTACATCGTACTTTTAACGTAATCGTTTTAGAATATGAGTGAACGTTTCAGAAGTCATTTGGCTAATGTCTGATTTACCAATGCTCAATTGTAATTTTGCCATTAGGCATTTAAATGTTTAACGCTATTAATTTGAAGTTGCTTTATATTACATAAAATTTTGAGTAATAAAAAATTGGTGAAATTAGATCTTAACTTCCAATATTAGCTTAAATAAATTGATTGTGTTGTCTCTTCTTGAATATAAGAAAAATAACTCGCACTAGGCACACATAAGAAGCAAATATATATATATATATATATATATATATATATATATATATATTTATTTATTTGTTGATACATATTTATGCTTCTCTAGGCCTCGGCAAAGCCAGAGCAGAGCCTTGTGATTTGGCAAGATATATAGTACATTCTTTATAAATACACAACATCTTACTAATATTATAAATGTAAAAGTTTATATGGACGTTTGGCTGTGTTCAGCCGTTCTGGCGTAATTGAGTGATAAAACAGATCTAAATGAAATTTGCCACAGATATAGATTATAGTCTGGAATAGCACATAGACTACTTTTTATCCCGGATATACAGTTCCCGTGGGATAGATTTGTTTTTGTGTTGAGCCGCTATTAATATCATAATTGAATTAAGTACAGCAACTTAGATAAACGAATAAAATAAAAGAAAGTTTAAATAAGATAAGCCATAGACTTTAGTTAAGACTGCAAAAGCGAGTATAATCATCTCAAATGCGGGACAAGGTCACTGACCTCGGCCAACATAAAGATAACGTATGGTGAGCCAGGCACGAAGCATCTATTATAGGATGTAAACAAATAACATGAAAGGCCGTTCATTAAATACATGAAAATATACGCTTTAAGATAACAAATTAGAAAGGCTGCTATGAGAATAAGAAGTTCAAAGGGAAACAGAAGTATATGTTATACAAATCAACAAAATACGTTATTTTTCCCTTTTAAGTTTGTTATAAAGTTATTCGTGGCATTAGATACGATGTTCTGAAAGTATTTTTTTTTTTTTCAATAAAATTCATCACTGAACTTTTTTCTGCTTTAGGGCGCGTATTCGTAATACCAACCTTTAGAAGGACGAAAACGATGGAAAGCACAGTGGGATCGCGTCGATTTTTTTTTGTACATTCTTAAAAGTACCTACTTACCCATCTAAAACCTTAAAACCTTCATACTAACATTCAAATATGTACGAAAATATGACAAATCAAACTCCGATATGTTAAAATTTTTATTAAATTTTCTTTCAATAACAAACTACTCAAAACTATTTGAACCTCGTAGAATCAAGATATAGAATAAAAAACCAATCGAACGTCCCCATACTTTATAGATAGATAGATAGTATATATAGGTACTATAATATAGATAGCCATTTGTAATTTATTTATTACATAGTTACTTTGAGTGTAAGAACCATTATTTATGTTATCACTAGAGAAAATAGCTGATCGCGATTGATAGACAGACGTACTAAACAGTGAACATATTTATTCAATGTCGAATGTACGTATTTAAATACATTGGAAAACCAATTTCGAAACCATGAAAAAAACAATTTCGAATCAAACATCAAGTGTCAAGTGAAAATGGTCCACAGTGTATAGAAAACTAAGCGCACGTTCACGGGC